CCTCCTATATTGATTCTGTAAGAGCCACTGGGTTTTTTGTTTTTGTTTTTGTTTTCCTCCTCTTTTAGTGATTTTTTTTTTCTGAGTCTGGTAAACAAAGAAAACTGTAAGTGTCTAGTCTTCAACTTCCTCAGAGACCTGAGAAGGAAATAATATTATCTGAGTAAGCAGTAAGTACTTACTTTAAAGTTTACTCTAAAACATGTGAGTTACTCGGAGTAATAGCAGTTAGGAGATGGAATCTAGACAATGGAATTTTAACTAAAACTGGTTTAATGTAGGTATTTGTAATCTGTAGCTCTAGAGAGTTTCATAGAAAGAGGAACTCTCAACTTGGCATCAGGTGGAATTGTCACACAAGAGAGAAATGTGAGAAATGACGGAAACATCTGGCTGCCTGGACAGTCAGCCAAGGTTCTCTGCCTTCATCTTTGGCCTATAGGCCTAGCATGTCTGACAGACTTTTTGGAGAAGCAGGATTTTTGAAAGACTGTCCGACCTCGTCTTCACAAGGTTTTGCAGTCACTCTCTTTTGTGTCCTGCTTGTTCAATTTCGACAGCATACTGTCAGCAACTGAGGCAAGGATGCTTTCTTACCCAATCAAACTTTGCAGGATTGCCCATCATGTGCTGTAAACTAGAAAGAAACAAAATTTAAGGTTTTGGATTCTTAGTCTGTGATTACAGTTTAGCATTGTTTGGCAGAGTCAGAAACCCAGTGAGAAACTGTGAGAGTTCATTGCATGAAGCTGTGATGATGAAGCCTGGTGTTGTTGGTTGTGTTTTTTTATTTTTTATGCTTTACTCTTTTTGGGGCCTGCCACCCAGCTCTCAAATAAGATACACATACACCACAACACACACACACACACACACACACACACACACACACACACACAGATTTATTCTTTCCTATGCATGCTCAGCCTTAGCTTGGCTTGTTTGTAGCCTGCCATCTCCTTTTGCCTCTGGGCTTTATCTTTATTCTGAATACCTTTCTTTACTTGTTACTCTATGACTTGCTGTGTAGATGGGTGGCTGGCCCCTGGTGCCCTTTTATCCTCCCCCTCCCACCACATTTCTCCTCCCGTTTATTCCCTCTGCCTGCCAGCCCTGCCTATCCTTTCCTGCCAAGATATTGGCCATTCATGTCTTTATTAGATCCATCAGGTATTTTAGACAGGCAAAATATCACAGCTTCACAGAGTTAAACAGATGCAACATAAAAGAACATACCACATCATTGCATCATTAACAGATGTTCCATAGTATAAAACAATATAACACATCTTAAAATAATATTCCACAACAGCCTGGCATGGATTTAGAGACCACAAAATATTGAGATACTAAGCTATTAGACATCTTCCATGAAGACCTAGCTGCATATTGGGAGTGGAAGTAACCAAAGAGAGAGATGTATGAGAAGTTGCAGGGATAGGGCCATCTAAGCCCCTCGTAATTGAAGCTCTCTGCATCTGAGATAGAGCTACAGGATTTGATGTTTGTCCTGCCGTGCTTCAGTCTTGCCTTGGTCCAGTCTTCCCTCACTGTCAACATTTCTCTTTTGGAATGTGAATGGTATTCTGTGCCATTTTATGTTGAAAAGATGTAACTTGTTTTCTGATTTTCTAAGATGTCACTGTCAAACCATTGTCTTGAGTATCAGAAGAGACTTTGGACATTTGAACAGTATAGGGGCTGTTGCAGACTATGAGGATCATTGAAGTGACTAAATTCATTTCCTTCATGAGCCTTTCGTAATCTGGGTCAGAGTGTAATTGGTAGAATGAATTGCCAGATAAGATCGTGTATTTGAACTTGTGTCTCTCTTTAGTGACTTTCTTTTAATTGCTTGTGAAACTTTTAGTAGGAGGAGCCTTTCTGGATGAAATTCCTCATTGGGAATATGAGTCTCTGTAGCCTCAACCCATTTCCTGTTCTTTGTGCCCATTGTGTTGAGGTTGAGACTGATCAGCTAACTTCCTTCTTTTGTTTTCATGCCTTCACCACTATTATCGACTCTATCTCTAAATGACATAAGATACAGTGGAAGAAATTGCTATGCAGTAGTAAGGCAGTTTTGTAGCCTGCTGTTTCAATTTTTGGTTTGTTTGTTAAGGTTTGTCTGTCTAGTCCTGGCTGTCCTGAAAGTAGCTCTGTATACCAGGCTGGCCTCTAACTCAGAACTCCCCCTGACTCTGACTCCCAAGTCCTGGGATTAAAGGTTGGTCAACATTCCTGACTGTTTTGTTTTGTTTTTATATTATTGGGTGATGGACCTGGAATGTAGGCTTTTGTGTATGTCAAGCATATGCTTTTGTACTGAGCTCCACTCATATCTTGAATTTTAAAATTTGGTTGAGGGTATTATTCTGTTTCCTAGGATGCCAAGTATTCATGGCACCAATACTTCCTGAGCCGTATGAGTCATTGGATTGCAGGTGCTCGACCTTCCTGCCTGTTGTATTTGTTTTGAATGGTTTTGAATTCTTTTTTGTTTGTTTGTTTTTCGAAACAGGGTTTCTCTGTGTAGCTTTGGATCCTGTCCTGAAACTAGCTTTTGTAGACCAGGCAGGTCTCAAACTCACAGAGATTTGCTTGCCTCTGCCTCCTGAGTCCTGGGATTAAAGGCATGTGTACCACCAGCCGGGTCTTGTCTTGAATTTTAAAATGAATATGAATATTTTACCTGTATGCATGTACATGCACCTTTGTGGATATCTAGTCCTCACAGTGGTCAAAAGATGGTCTCAGAAACACTGACCTTGGAATAATTGATAGTTGTCATCCACTGATGGGGGATGTCCTTCTGTGTATATGTTTCTTTTATTGGTTGATGAATAAAATGCTAATTGACCATTAGCCAGGCAGGAAACATGAGCAGAGCTACCAGATCAGGAGAAGGTGGGGGAGAGGAAGGCAGACACAGCCATGACAGAGATACCATGCTGCTGAAGGAGTAACATGATAGGATACAGGTAAGCCACAGCCTCGTGGCAATACATAGATTAATAGAAATGGGTTAGCCATTGGCCAATCAGTTTCATAATTAATACAATATGTGTATGATTATTTGGAGATGAAGGGATATGGAGTATGGCGAAACAGAAATCTCCAACTACAATCCCCATGTAAGTACTGATAGTTGACCCCACCTATGTATAAGATGAGCAAGAGCTCTTTTACTACTGAGCAATCTCTCTTGCCCTGTAACGGTTTAAACATGCAGTGCCTTTTAGTAAAATCTTGATGTTATAGTTCAAATTAGGGGACTTCAGATTTCTGGAAATGAATACAGAACTGAAATGAATGCATAACTTGGTTACTGGTGTTCTTGTCCTGACAGGTTTCTCTGCTTTTCTCAGCCACAAATAAACACACAGATGCTATGTTAATTATTAAACTGTTAACTGATGGCAATGGCTTCTTATTGGCTAACTCTGTATTAATTATTAACCCACTTCTATTCATCTTTGTATTTCCACATGGTCTTATCTTACTGGAGAACGTCTGGTGAATCCTATCCTGCTACCTCCTGGTCCCTCAATGGCATATTTATTTACTTATTTATTTACTTATTTATTTATTTATTTATTATGTATACAGTGTTCTACCTGAATGTTTCCCTATATGCCAGAAGAGGGCCCTGGACCTCATTACAGGTGGTTGTGAGCCACCAAGTGGTTGCTGGGAATTGAACTCAGGACTTCTGAAAGAGCAGTCAGTGCTCTTAACCTCTAAGCCATCTTTCCAGCCCCTCCTAGCATCTCTTTTGGTGGGCTCTCCCTGCCCACCTTCCCCAAAATTTCCTTGTCTCCTAGCCTTGCCTACTTCCTGTTTCTATTGACTATTGGCCAAACAGTGTTTTATTTATCCACCAATAAGAGAGACATACAGGACATTCCCCCATCATAACTGTAGGAACTTCAGTAAAAACCTCTGGGTTCTTTCTATTTGTTTGACTGATGTTTGTGTAAAATAAAGGGTCTTAATATGTACTCTGGCTGTCCTGGACCTTACTGGATAGACTAGGCTGGCATGCCAGCCTCTACCTTCTGAGTGCTGGCATGAGCCAATACACCCAATTTGTTCATCTTAGTTTTTTTTCTTGTAGTTAGTATTTTTTCATATAATTTCTCTCATGTGTACTCTGTACTGTTCATCTGTTTACTTCTCCTTATGTTTGTTAATATGTATTTCTCTTGCAAGTTGATATCCCATTTAAAGGGTACAGTCAATACGTAACCTCCTTGTTAGGAGTAAGGTTTTCCCTGCAGGTCTGGTCCCACCGCCATGCCAGCCCCAATTAATACACAGAGACTCTGTATTAGTTATAAAGCTGTTGGCCTGTTTCTAATGTTTCTTATTGGCTGGCTCTATCTTAATGATTAACCCATTTCTATTCATCTAAGTACTTCCATGTGCCTTTATCTTACTGGAGAGAGGGGTTGGCGTTCTGCTCTCTCAGTCTACCATCTTGGAACTCCTCCCTACTACTTCCTCTCTCCTCCTAGTCTCCTAGTCCCACCTATCTTGTTTTCCTATTGGCCAACAGTGCTTTGTTCATTAACCAATACAAGAAACATTTACAGAATGACAACTCCCATAATCTCTTTTCTGTCTAAAATAAAAAGAAGGGTTTTAACCTTAGCATAGCAAAATATATCACAAAACAGTTATCAAATAAGAACCACAGTCAACAATGTTTAGTCCATTAACATTTAGCAAGATTTAAATATTTTATCATCTATCCTATCTTTGTGAGTCTAAAGTCCTATATGTCTTTAGTCCTAACTAAGGGAAACTATAACCATAACTGTCTTCAACTCCTTCAAAGACCACAGAAGTATAATATATAAACTCTAGACCTCTTATTCAGTTTCCTTCTAATAAAGTAACTTGGTGATTACATTATAATATCTGTGTTGTGGAATAAGTGTGGGTAGCACCAGAATTATGTGACTATACTGTCAAAGAAGTATACATTTACAGTGTTGTCAGTATCATACTTTCTGTTGTACACATGTATGGGATATCTTAGAATGCTGTTACCTATGATGATGTGCATGTCAACTTCACTTGGGAAGAGTGGACGTTGCTGGATCCTTCCCAGAAGAAACTCTACAAAGATGTGATGCTGGAGACCTACAGGAACCTCACTGCTATAGGTAAGACTGAATTTTCTTCATGCTTTGAAATAAGGGGACAACTATTTCTAGTTTATTGATGATCTTTTGTAATTTGATTGAGAAAGAAGAAGAATGAGCTGAATAAATCAGGCATGGTTTTAAGGTACACTGAAGGTAGTAACTGAAATGTTTCACAATTTTCAATAACATAACATACATTGTCTGTTACCATATTTTAGGATACAGTTGGGAAGACCACAATATTGAAGAACATTGTCAAAGTTCTAGAAGACATTCAAGGTAATTTTCATGTGCAAGCTGATAGAAATGTGCCTCTGAAGAAATTGCATTGTGTCCTGTAAGTTTTAAACAAAAGCAACAGTGTAAATAAGCACAGCTTAAAGTACATTGATGATTATTAAATTCTCACATAATCATATACCTTAATCCCAGATGGGTGAATTACATTCTTTAAAGAAGGAAGACAAGGAAATGATGCCCCATCAGATACCACCATTTGAGTCATAGTACCATGATAACTATGCTATAGAGTTGTCAACTCATTCATTTCATACTACTCACATTTTTCTAAAGGTATACACATTGAAGAGGTGAGAAGTGTATATGTCCAAAGCCTTCTAATAAGCAAATAGTCCATAGTAAAGCTGTTGTTACTCATATACTTGTGACTGTGCTAAGTTTAGTGAGAGGTGCAATTGGAGTCAAGATTGAAAGGGCAATAGTTGTAGAGAAACCTTAATACCACAATGTATGAGAACAGAAAGTCCAAACTGTGTGAATTGAATGTGGGAACATCTTATTTGTTGTTCTTTTAGTAGGTTTACCATATTTCACTCTGGATACAAGCCATAGGAGCATAGGGATATGGGAAGATGTAACACACCTCTCTATCTGAATAATTAGAAAATATGCAGCTGTCCTCACATTGAGTATTCTTGTTCAATTTGATTCAAGTATACAAGTAATTGGTTTTGCAAGTTTCATTGTTAACACATCAACAAACTCATACTGTAGAAAATCCCTATGAGTACTAGGACTATGGAAATACTGTGTTCATCCTAGTTCACTTAGCAAATGCAGTATGACTCATAATATAGGAAAGTTTATGAATGCAGTAAGAGTGGTAAAGTTCTGAGTTTTTCTTGTTCTCTTCAAATATGTGAGAAATCTCATAGGGAAAAAAAAAGATTCTGTAAATGTAAACTACGTAATACAGGATCTTACCATCACAGGTATCTTCAAAGATGCAAAACAACCCATAATGAGTGTAAACACAGTGACAAAAACCTTAAGATCTGATTCATCTTTACAATTGGACCAAATTGTAAAATTAGTTCATATAATAGAAACATTCAACAGTATATTGAATTTTGTAAAGTGTTTACATGTTCCAATTATCCTTCAGGCTTGAAAGAAGTCAAACTGATGGAAAACCTTCGTTATGTGTTGAAACCTTTGCATATGGAAGTCATCTTCAGTGTAATGAAAGAACACATAATGGAAAGAAACCCTATGAGTGTAATCAATGTGGTAAAGCCTTTGTATGTTTTAGTCTTCTTCAAACACATAAGAAAACACATACTGGAGAGAAACCCTATGAATGTGATCAGTGTGGTAAAGCCTTTGCAAGCTACAGTAATCTTCTAAGGCATAAAAAAACTCATTCTGGAGAGAAACCTTATGAATGTGATCAGTGTGGCAAAGCCTTTGCACGTTATAGTAATCTTCTAATACATGAAAGAATGCATACTGGAGAGAAACCCTATGAATGTAATCAGTGTGGCAAAGCCTTTGCATTTCACACTTCTGTTCAATGTCATGAAAGAACACATACTGAACAGAAACCCTATGAATGTGATCAATGTGGTAAAGCCTTTTCACAACTCAGTAATCTTCAAATGCATGAAAGAACACATACTGGAGAGAAGCCCTATGAATGTCATCAATGTGGTAAAGCCTTTGCACGTCACACTCACCTTCTAATGCATGAAAGAACCCATACAGGACAGAAACCCTATAAGTGTGATCAGTGTGGTAAAGCCTTTTCACAACTTTGTAATCTTAAAGTGCATGTAATGACACTTACTGGAGAGAAACCCTATGAATGTAATCAATGTGTTAAAGCCTTTGTATGTCACAGTCATCTTCTAATACATGAAAGAATACATACTGGAGAGAAACCTTATGAATGTAATCAGTGTGGTAAAGCCTTTGCGTGTCACAGTTCTCTTCAACGCCATGAAAAAACCCATACTGGACAGAAACCCTATGAATGTATTCAATGTGGTAAAGCCTTTTCACAACTCAGTAATCTTCAAATGCATGAAAGAAAACATACTGGAGAGAAACCCTATGAATGTAATCAATGTGGTAAAGCCTTTGCACATCTCGGTCATCTTCAATGGCATGAAAGAATACATACTGGAGAGAAACCATATGAATGTAATCCGTGTGGTAAAGCCTTTGCATTTATCAATAGTCTTAAAAATCATGTGAAAAAAATCATACTGCAGAGAAACCATATATATGTAGTCAATGTGGTAAAGTTTTGTACTTTATACAGGAGTAAAACTTTTTGTATGCAATCAATCTTTTAAAGCTTTTGCATATTGTAGTAGACTTTGAGTCAGTAGTTCTGAAAAAACTAATTCTGAAACTCTTGTTACTATAAAGTATTTGGTAAGATCTTTAGCCAACACACTTGCATTAAGTTGCATAAGTGTATTCTGTAGAAGAAATTTTGACAGTGTCAACAACCTATTGAAGCATTATGATGTCTGTATTTTGTTTGTACCTGCAAACTCATGAAAACAAGCCATGTGAATATAAATGATAAGGTAACAGGTGATATTTTGTTTATGATCTAACAAGTAAAGCTTGCCTGAATATCAGAGTGCAAAGCTAGTTAGTCACACTAGTTAGCCATAGAGGCCAGGCAGTGGTGGTACAGTACAGAACCTTGCTAGATTTCTGTTTTTGTTTTTGTTTTTGTTTTTGTTTTTTTAGCTTTTTCGCTTGCATTCTTCCTTGCTCCATTTATTGTAAATATTCAATTTACCATGAAGACTATACTTTTTATTATTATTCATTAGTCAAGAATTTCATCTGGGTTGGCTTGGCTTGGGAGCAGTAACTCAGGAATTGGGTCCTGGACAGGCATTGTTACCATGTTTGTGTCTTGTCTTTGTCCCCTTCCACGTGATGGGATGCGCGGCATTAAAGAGGACCATGGAGTTCCAGGCGGTGATGCTGAGCTGAGATGCTGTGCCCCTCTGCCCGGCCCCACTCAGGGTCTTAGGTCCCCTGGTCTCCAATCCGCCACCTGTTCTGATGCAGATGCTGCTGACTAGTCTCTAACAACCTGCCATGCCCAGCAGTGAGCATTGCCTTCCAACTCATGAGCAAGTTTTTCATAACATAAAGCAAGAATATAGCCATTATCAGGGGTGGAGACATTAGATTGTTCTCAGTCAGAGTGAAGCCTGTACTTCAGAAAGCCAACCTCCCTCCTTGGCACTTATGTCACCAAGTCCTCCAGGTTCTTTCTGGATGAAGAAGGACCAGCCCACCTTTATCCTCTGACAAGTGGGAATAATATATGAGCTTCTGTTAAAAGACTATGAAGATAAGGTCTGGGAGGAATACTAGCATATCCTCAGTACCAAACTGGCAGAACGATATGAATCTTTTGGGAAATTCACACATGATCAGATTATGTGGCAATATGGACAAGGCCAAAATGCTATGCATGCCGAAGCCTTCTTGTCTATCTGGGCACCAGGTGTGACCTCCAGAGATGGTTACTGTACACTTTTTTCAACTGGTTTGATATCACATTTCAGTTCCAACTTTGCATCCTGAGAACACTGTAATGTTTCTGCACGTGCATTTACACAATTTGAAAGACCTTAAAACTTTCTTGTTGCCACAAGCATATCTTTCTTTTCTGCTCATCCACTAAACAGCTGTACCCTACTGTGATAGGTTTTCCAAAAAAAAGTACCTGGAGCAGCAGTTTAGCAAGGAATGCCTTCAGTGACACTCAACATGTGGCATTTCCCCAAGCACAGAAGTGTGTGAGAGTGCCTGTGTGTTTTAAATTTTTATTTCCTCTAGCTTATCTTCCGTGCCTGAGATTCTCTCTTCCATCTCATGAATTTTTTGGTTATGCTTGAATCTGTAGTTCCTGATTGTTTGCCCAGTATTTCCAGCATTCTTCTGTTTCTGTTTACTTTATTGTCTCTATTTCAGTTTTCAAATGTTGGACTGTTTCCTTCACCCGTTTAATTGTTTTTTCGTGGTTTTCTGTACTTCCTTTAAAAAATGTGTTCATTTCTTCCAACTTTTTTGTGTGTTTTTTCTTCTATTTCTTTAAGGGATTTTCTCACATCTTCTTTGAAGGCCTCTATGATTTTTATGACGATAATTTTTAAGTCGTTCTCTTCTGCTTCATCTGCTTTGTTGTATCCTGGTCTAGTTGATGTACATTCCATAGATTCTGGTAGTGTTATGCTTGTCTTTCTGTTGTTAGGTGTTTTCTTGTATTGCTATTTCCCCTTAGCTTCTTCCAGTAGGTGTTGGTGGGGGTCTCTCCCTCTCTCTATGGTGCTTTCCACGTGGGCTTGGGTGGGTCAGAGGTTCGATGTCTGTAGCTTTGGATGATCCAAGCACTTTAGGAGGTCTCTGCACAGGCAGGGGCCTGGTGATGGGGGTCAAAGATCAGGCTCCAGCAGAAGACTGGCCATGGGAGTCAAAGGTATGGAAGGCTGGGACTCAGGATGTTCTTTATGCTGATAGGCAGATCTAGCCTGGGCCTTGCATCTCCAGCTGAGGCCTCTTTGGCAGAGGCCCTGCAATGGGAGTCAAGGATCCAGCCTTCAGAACTCAGAATGGCCCTGTGGCGATAGGCGGATCTCTGGAAGGGGCCCAGAACTCCAGTAGAGGACTGGCAAATGGGGTTAGAGACCAGGCAGGTGGAAATTACGGGTGGTCCTGCATTGATAGGCAGGTCTAGTGTGCTCAGAGCAGCTCCAGGAAGTTCCCCAAAGGTGGCTGGATTGTTGGCTCCAGTGTGGGACAGTGGGCATGGTAGAGCACAGGGTAGGGGGAGGGCAGGCTCTTGGTGGGGATGGGGTGGTGTGTATCAAAGCTCCTAGAGCACTCTGGATAGGGACAGGACACAGAGGCAGAAAGATCTGGGGCCAACCCAGGGAGTTCCTGGGGAAGGGTGTAGGGGAGAGTCCACCTAAATTGGTCCCAGACTCACCTCTAGTCAAGACCTGGCAATGGGGTCAAAGACTGGGCTGGTACTCAGCATGTTTCCACACCAATAGGCAGATCTAGGTCAGCTGGCACTCTCCAGCTGAGGCCTCTTTAACAGAGGCCCTGTGTTGGGGGTCAATGATGCAGCCTATAAGAACTCAGAGTGGCCCTGCTGGGATAGGCAGATCTCTGGGAGGCGCCCAGAACTCCAGTAGAGGACCAGCAGTGGGGGTCAGAGACCAGGCAGGTGGAAATTACTAGTGGTCCTGCATGGATAGGCAATGATGTGTTAAAATTTTTAACTGTGCCAATTATCATTACAGGCATAAAAGAATCCATACTAGATAGAAACCCTATGAAGGTAATCAATGTGGTAAACACTTTATACAGAGCAGTGGTGCCCAAACACAACTGGAGAGAAACCCTATGAAGGTAATCAGTGTGACAAAGACTTTATACAGAACAGTGGTGTCCAAACACATACTGGACAGAAACCCTATCAATGTAATCAGTGCGGTAAAGTGTTTTCACAACACTCATCTCCAAATTCATTTTATAATTTACTACATCAGAGACAAACCCTATAAATGTAATTAATGTGGTAAAGCCTATGCATATAAGTCTTCCAGTGTAAAAAAATAAGACATGTTGGAGAGAAACCCTATCAATGTAATCAATTAGGTAAAACCTTTTAACAGGACTGTAGTCCTGTACTAGTAGAGAGAAGCCTTATGAATGCAATCAATGTGGTAAAGCGTTTGCATATCATAGTAATCTTTTTAAGTTATAAAATAACCCAACCTATAGATTAACCCTATGAATGTAATCAATGTGAGAAAGCCTTTGCATATCATAGTAACCTTCTAAGGTATAAAATAACCTGCACTGCAGAGAAACACTATGAATGTAGTCAGTGTTGGAGAGGCATTTCCCAACACACTGCTCCCCAATTTATAAAATAGCCCCCACTTGAACATAACCAATGTGGGAAAGACTTTTCACAAGAATCAACCAGTTTCATAAAAGAACCCATTGTAGAGAGAAGTCTTATGAATTTAAACATTGTAAAAGCCTATGCATGTAATGTCAGTCTTCTAATGCATAAAATAACCCACACTAGTGAAAAACCCTTTGAGTATAATCAATGTGGTAAAGCCTATGCATATAAGACTCTCCATGCATAAAATAACCCATGCTGGAAAGAAATCCTTTGAATGTAATCAGTGTGGTTAAGTGTTTTCATAACAGTCATCTCCAAATTCATACAAGAACCCACACGAGAGAGACATGCTACCAATATAATCAATGTTGTATAGCCTTTTCACAGGACAGTAGTCTCCTAACCCATAATAGAACACATTCTAAGGAGAAGCCTTATGAATGTAATCAATGTGGTAAAGCCTTTGCATATAATAGTAATCCTTTTAAGTTATAAAATAACCTACCCTGTAGAGAAACCCTATGAATGTAATCAATGTGAGAAAGCCTTTGCATATCATAGATATTTTCTAAGGTTTAAAATAACCCACACTATGAATGTAATCAATGTGGGAATGCCTTTTCAGAAGAAACAACAAATTTCATAAAAGAACACATACTAGCAAGAAGTCCTGAGAGTTTTAATCTATGTAGTAAAGCCTATGCATATAATTTAGTCTTCTAATTCATAAAATAACCCATAATGGTCAGAAACCCTATGAATGAAATCTACATGGGAAAACATTTTTTAATAGAGTCCTCCAAAATCATTAAAGAACCCATACTAGGCAGAACTCCTATTAATGTAGTCATTGTGGTAAAGCCTTTATATATATAGCACTGCTCTCCAAACACATACTAGAAAGAAACCCTATGAATATAATCAGCATTGTAAAGTGTTTTCACAACACTCATTTCCAAATTCATTTTAGAAGTCACATCAGAGAGAAACCCTATAAATGTAAATTATGTGGTAAAAACCTTTGCATATCATAATCTTTTTAAGTTATATAATAATCCACTCTTTAGAGAAACCCTATGAATGTTATCAATGTGAGAAAGCCTTTGCACATCGTAGTAATCTCCTAAGTATAAAGTAACCCACACTGGAAAGAAAACCTATGAATGTAATGAGTATGAGAAAGCCATTACCCAAGACACTGATCTCCAAATCCATAAAGTAGCCCACACTGGAGGGAAATCCTATGAATATGATCAGTGTGAGAAAGCCTTTTCACAAGAAACAACCTATTTTACAAAAGAACCCATAGTAGAGAGAAATCTTGTTAATTTTATCATAGTAATAAAGCCTATGCATATAATGTATTACTTTTTATGCTTAAAATAACCCACACTGGAGAGAAAACTTATGAGTATATCATAGTGGTAACGCCTATGCATACAAATCTGCCAGTGCATAAAATAACCATACTGAAGACTTATAGGCATATAAGTCTTCATTGTTAAAAATAATCCATGGTGGAGAAAAACCCTAAGAATTAAATGTACATGGGTAAATGGTTTTACAATACTCCTCCAAATTCATAAAGGAACCCATACTAGGCAGAACCCTTATGAATGTACTCATTGTAGTAA